GGTGCGAATGACAATAAAGAAACTCTGACTCTGACTCTCTTGTGGAACCAACTTCCAGTTTCTGTCTGTAAGGCTGACACATTATCCAGTTTTAAGACTGGGCCTAAGACTTTCCTTTTAGATAAATCCTATAATTAGGGTTTGTTTGAAACAATTTGTTAAAATTGAATAGTTTTCATTTGATCCTATTTCTATCTTAACATGTGATTCTTGACCTACCATTGTGTATCTGTTTCTACCAAACCCAGCCGGTCGAAGCAGATGGCCGCTTGTCTTGAATCTGGTTCTACTAAAGGTTTCTTCCTCATGAGGGAGTTTTTCCTTTCCACTGTTGCCTTTATGCTTGCTTAAGATGAGAGTCTGTGATGAAGTTAAACTTAAAGCAGTCTGCTCCTCAGATAAAGAGTGCCAACTTGCTTTATACATGAATGTTTCTGTTCAGTGCCCTGAGATGACTTCTGTTGTGAATTGGCGCTATAGAAATAAACTGAATTGAATAGAACAGTTTGGTTTTCCACAGCCAGAGAGCCAATTCAGAGCCACATCATTATTACAGAAATTTTGAATATTACGGCGGGAGGGTCAAATATTTACCAGAAAAGAAGCAGTGTGTTTCCCCTACTCTTATCCAAGGAGGGTGCACTGTTCCGTCAACAAAACTGTGTACCCTTCCTACCAAAATCTCTCCTCAACCCACCAAAAATTCTGCCACTTCCGGACAGGGAGTGGAGATTGTAGCCACAGGATGAGCTACCACTATCCTGTCCAACAAGCACCCTGCCAATGACGGGGATCTAGGGGAAACACTGAGATGTATAATATATATTAAAAGAGCCAAAATTATTTCTAAATGTTGCTTCAAACAGTGATAATCAATTAAATTGAAAACAGTGATTGTGAAGGCAGCTTTGTACGGTGATCCGACATGACTGTCAATTAAAAACATACATGTCTTAAATTAAGGAGTGTGAAATTAACTGGATTTTTAAACGGAGGTCTCACAACATTTTCATTGATGAATGCGCTCAATGAAAAGCTCTGGTGTGAAAGATGGCACCAGTTCTTTTTGTTTGGTGCCCAAGCTTTGGGCAGTGGAAACAGTAAGAGCCGTTGCTTAGCAATATTTGTTTAAAAAAAAAAAAAAAAAACTGGAGTATGACTTTTTATAACTGTCTATTGTTGTTGCTGTTGTCCATTGTTTCATCTTTCTTTGTTGAAATCAGGTCTCTCTTGTAAATGAGTCCTCGAGGCTCAATGGGATTTCCCTGTAGAAATAAAGGTTGAATGATCTCTGGTTCTGGTTTAGAACTAGGACCTGTTTGGTGGGAAAAAAGCCTGAGAGGCTAAAAGAAGCTGCACACCTGTACAGTGTCATTCTCTATTTTCAATATTTTTACGAGCATACCAAATGTACGCTTTTGGAAGACCTGAACAGAAGATTAAAAGGAACAACCCATTTCCACACTCAGAAACATTGCATACATAATTTCCACAAGTCTACTCAGCATTCTTTGCAGCTCACACAGCTCTTTGGGATGTGACACTCGCCTCTCACAGACTACCTTGTGGGTTTGGGGGAAAATTAATTTAAACAGAGACACATATTTTTACTTTAATCTGGGGCCTACAAATATTTGTCTTTTAGTATTAATAATGTTTAATTATAAGAATTAAATGATCAGAAACACAAAGGCTGCACACTCCCGTGGCAGTGCTCTTTGTCAGCTGAACTGACCGCATTAATTGTGATCGCCCACTTGCCGAGTTACACAACAACACATTTATTACTGGGGGAATATTGATGCTGACATACAGAAACTTTGGAATTTTAAACGTTTCTAACCAGGATCTCTAGAATTGATTCATTACAGTAAATGACATAAGGGAGACATCCAACACACATTTAATAAGTTTCAGTTCTACTTCTTCTCTTTTGGTTGCACTTGAAGCTCACCTCTGAGTGGGATGTGGATGCTTCACCTGTGATTTATGAACTGTTAGAGGATAATAATAATGTGTATGTGTTGTCATCATTGTATATTCCCATACAATGGCAAAATTGTCTCTCTGCATTTAACCCATCCACCCCCAGGTGGAACAGTGGGCAGCTATTGAAAGTGCCCGAGGAGCAATTGGGGATAAGGTGTCCTGCTCAGAGACACCACGAGATGTGCAATGACTGGGGATTGAACATGGGACTTTCGGGTCCCGAGTCGGCTGCCCTGCCTCTATCCCATCTTGGCAACGCGATGAATGGAGCAGTCCATGCAGCCATTTCGTGGCACTGTCTTTTGAATGAGCCACATTTTTGCCATGCAGGAGAACAGCAACAAGACGGTCATTCAGAGAAGATCAAAAACGGTCAACATTCTTTTTATCATGAAAATCGTACACCAGTCCTTGACACCACACCCTCCCCCCTGTACAGTTTGTATGCTAATAACTCACCTGAAGCTCACTACCAAATGTGAGGCATATCAGAAAGTGGATTCAAAAGTATTTCTACTTGATAATGACTGATTTACTGTGTTCTACATTAACATGTGTTCAGACTATCGTAATTCTTGGACTACGGAATGCACTTGTCTCTAAGCCGCACACAAGATAAATCATAATTTTGTATATAAATAAGACTCTCTGGTTATTAAGCCGTGGGCATCCACCGTTCATTATCAGAATGTGTGCCCCGGTATAGGCTGCAGCTTTCTTATTGTAGTACAAGAATCAGCCACTGGATGGCGTTTCACAGATTATATCTTGCTTTCAACACATGTTCAGACTGCATGATCATCAGAAGTCTTCATGATGCTTCACTGTCTGACTCATAGTTAAAACCATTCAACATATAAAATGAACACAAGAACTATCTAAGTATAATCACTAGACAGAACAGTGCCAAACACCTATGTACCCAAAATTATTTAAAAATTATATACTGCTAAATAATACCCAGAAGTCTTATCTAGGTCATGTGACCAGAAGTCAAATCCATCCATCCATTATCTTTACCCGCTTATTCCATTTTGGGTCACGGGGGTCGCCGGTGCCCATGTCCAGCATTCACTGTGCGAGGGGCGGGGTACACCCTGGACAGGTCGCAAGTCCATCACAGGGCCAGAAGTCAAATAATACTGGTAAAAAATGGTAAATATTCATTAAATTAGTACCATTGATTTTTATTGTTAAATACTTTGGTAATAGCTGCTGTTTTTAAATGTACTTTCTAAATAAATCTGACGTGATTTCTGCTCAGCACTGTTCATATGAGGAGGTGGAGGAACAGCCCCTCCCTCTCGTTGTCTCCTCCACTCTGTTTAATGCCCCCGTTTAAACTTAAATGAGATACTGGTATTTAAACACATATTTACCGTACACAGAAATATTTTTTAAAACTTTTATTTAAATACTGTATGTATCAGTCTTGACTGACTGACTGCTTTAAAAATAAATCTGATGACTTCTCCGCTGAGCTTTCATGACGGAAAGGGGACTTGGGAAGAACCCCTCCTGTTGTTCTCTGCTCCGTGTTTGGATGCAAGTTTAAAATGAGATCCCAGTATTTAAACACATATTTACCATTCACAGAACGATGTCACGCAAAAATATTTTTGAAACTTTTATTAAAATATGTACCAGACTTGACTGATTTGTGTCTCCCATGCCCGATCATCGACACGTTGATGCAAAGCTTACAGACGGCAGCTGTGTTTGCTTCTTCGACAGTTAGATCGATCGCTTTTAACTTGAAAGCTGCAGCATAAGAAATTCTTTGTGCGTTTTCTATCAATGAACAAATGAACAGGTCTGTGAATGAAGCTCAAAATATGGTAACGACACAAGAACGGTCTGAAGAAATTAACGCACGTCTATCTTGGGGCATGGTCCTCGAGAGTACCCCATTAGTAATTCAGGTTAGAATTCTGGTCACATGATAACAGAGTGGGTGGAGTTATGGTAGGGAATTTGAAACCATGAGCAAGAGGCGTTTTGCATGTGGTAACCTGAGGCATTCACTCTGTTTCACAAAAGCCTGCCCCCAAGAGGGGTGTGCACTGGGAGCTATGAGCGCCCAGCTCTGTCAAAGGAAAATGTTAGTCAGAGGCAGGAAGTTACCGAGAGATGGTAGGAAGTCTGTCAAAATATAATATAAAAATATAAATTACTTGTAAAACACATAAATTAGACGCTATTGCATATAAACTGCGGGGTACAAAGTGTGAGAAAAAAGTAGCGGCTTTTACACCGACAATTACGGTACTTATATGTGTCTCTGACTCTGGGACAGAAACAGATGTCTGACAGCAGTCAACAACACAATTCATTCACACGATCTCATTATTAGTAGAAATAAAAGGCCGAGTGTGATTAATAATTCGATGCATTGGGTTGTGAAATGACAAATCAAATCATGAGGTCAGCCTAGATTCACAGCTCTGATTTACACAACACATCAGTTTGCACGTGAGAAGATTTGAACGAACACACACGCACGCACACACATGCACGCACACAGAGTTTTAGCAGAAGGATGATGATGAAGAATAAGCGGCTGTTACGTGTCGTTAAAGCAGCAAGCAGCAGTGTGCACCCACCTGTTGGGTATAGAGTTTGAGGGTCCGTGGTGCATGGAGGTGCCACTTTCTTTTCTGTTCATGCCTGGAGGAGGGCACATGCCAGATGCCACCTGAGGAGGCATGCCGCCCATGTTGGAGCTCATGTTGGGTCCATAGGGCCGAGCAGCCATCTGCCCGGGACCTAGCCTCCCAGGAGGCATGTTTCCATACGGACCCCCACTGCCCTGACCAGCCATGGGGTTCATAGAGCCTGCCATTCCAGGTCCGCTGGGGTAATTAGCATTGGGCATCCCCGTGTAACCAGGCTGCCTGGGATAACCTGGAAGATTTAAAGAAGAACATTAAGATACAAGGTGCCCGCTGTGCATCTTCAAACAAAAAAATGTTGCCCCCTCCCCACCTGATGAGGTGGGCTTTATCTGCCCCCCACTGCCACACACCTGCTGTTCACTACTAAGACTCACAGAAACCACCCAAGACTTGAAAGTGAAGTGCTATCATTTCATGAACAATATAAAGTGAGAGGAAATGTATTTTTTATTTAAGAAACATCATGGTTGCAGAATCATACAGTATGTTTTTAGCAGAAGTAAGGCCACACCCACGGCTTCCACATGAAACCTGAACAACGGAGTCTCACATTGTGGACCATACTGGCCTCCCTGAGGTCCGTAGTTTCCCATGGTGTTGTTTTGGGGATACGGTCCCATCCCGCCATGCATCTGACCTCCTGAAGACTGGCGTGGAGATAAGGCGGAACCAGGCTGTCCAGGGGACCCATATGGAGGCATCTGAGGGTTTCGCATGGAAACTGTAGGGGAATTTGGAGGATGACAGCACTAAATACTCTACATCTCCGAGGCACAACATAGACACAGGACTTTACAGAAAAACATGCTAAACAGTTTCAAAAAGTAGCTATATTATAAATGAACATTGTACATTTTGGAATTTGTCTTTTTTTGCTTTAAGGTTGACTCATCAACAGGAAGATCAGTCGTGATGAGGCTTCAGATGAAATTTCATCTCTTCAGGATTTTTCTTGTTGATGTAAAAACATCTCACATCTGTAAAACTGTTAATGTTGACTTTTATTTTTGTATATTAAACCAAAGTAATAAGAACAAATTATGTGTCTTTTTTGCCCTTTAACCTGGAATTTAAATACATTTGTACTATATTTTGTTTATAAGTAACAATGCTACAAAAATCTTCAGATTAATAAAGTTACATAATAAAATAGTTTTAACTAATTCTAAAATAAAATAAAACTGAAAAATGATGCGTACATTTGTATTTAGCCACTTCAACCCAATACTTTGTGTCCACACCTTTTGCAGTAGTTGTGGTGTAACAGGCCAAACTAACACCAGGACAGTGCAAACCCGGGTATACTGTAGTTTGGCCAAGGTCAGAGTATGGTGGATAAACTGTTTTAGGCCAAACTGTACCCGGGGGAGTAAAATAGCCTATGCCAGACTATTCCCCTCAAGCAGAATATATCAATCTATATAACAATATACACCCAGAATCTGGCCCTCATACCAAATGTTTAGATTTAATGTTGAGTTTTTAGATTAAAATCAATTGGCTTTCTCACTAAAATTATCTAACAAAGGTGAACCCCCAATAAAATGTTGAAAAATTTAGTGATTCTTGCTCAAGACTACTGATATCATGGAAGTAAAAACTGGACTGAGAGGGATTAATAGACTTACACCAATCTATATGCCAGATTAAAAATTGGCCTAGGCCCATAGTATATATAGGGTATAATCTACCTTTGGACGCTTTAACTCCAGGTATAGGCCGGACTGGGTGTACACTACGGATGTGCGATATGGCAACAAATTCATATCACGATATGTATTGTGAAGGGTGGCGATAACGATATACATCACAATATGTTTTTGGGAGTGCTGGCGCAGAGGTTAGAGAAGGTGGGCCTGTGATCGGAAGATCGCCGGTTCAAGCCCCGGTAGCGACAACATCAAAAATGTGGGTGAGAAACGTGAAGCATCCACACTTGCCCCCACCCTCATTTGTCCCACTCTGGGCCCTTGAGCAAGGCCCTTAACCCCCACCATCTGCTCCTCCGGGCACCCTGGATAACAGCGCTCTGCTCCACACAAAGGACTGTGGTAGCTAGGTGGTCTGTGGTTGCGTCAGGAAGGGCATCCGACAAAAAAAAAAAAGAAACCTGCCAAGTCTTCGTGTGGTTTAGATCATTGTGGTGACCCCTGAAGAAGGGAGCAGCCGAAAGAAGAAGAAAAAAAAAGTTTTTGGTACAAAGCTTGCAATAAGAATGAAAAAAAAAAAAAAAAAAGCATAGGGTGTCCTTTTGCCATCATTTATTTTGAAAACTGCTACACCACAAAATAATCTCTATTAAGAAAATTCCACTACTGGGTCCAGAGAGTTTTTAAATTCATTCATTCAACCTTTATTTATTCAGGTAAATCCCATTGAGCCTCAAGGACTCATTTACAAGAGAGACCTGATTTTAACAAAGAATGATGACAACAATGGACAACAGCGACAACAACAATTATAAAAAGTCATACAGATTTTTATTTATTTTTTTAAATGTAGATGGGAGCATATGTTGTTCCAGAACCTGAACATAGTTCTCTGCATTAATGGTGCCTTTCCAGACATGCAAGCTGCCCATGCCACAAGCGCTCATGCAACCCCATACCATCAGTGATGCAGGCTTCTGAACAGAGCGTTGATAACAACTTGGGCTATCCTTGTCCTCTCTGGTCCGGATGACATGGCGTCCCAGTGTTCCATAAAGAACTTCAAATCGTGACTCATCTGACCACAGAACAGTCTTCCATTTTGCCACACTCCATTTTAAATGACCCCTGGCCCAGTGCAAACGTCTGAGCTTGTGGAGCTTGCTTAGAAATGGCTTCCTCTTTGCACTGTAGAGTTTCAGCTGGCAACGATGGATGGCACGGTGGATTGTGTTCACTGACAATGCTTTCTGGAAGTATTCCTGAGCCCATTCTGTTATTTCCTTGACAGTGGCATTCCTGTTTGAGGTGCAGTGACGTTTAAGGGCCCGGAGATCATGAGCATCCAGTAGAGTTTTACGCCCTTGACCCTTACGCACAACGATTGTTCCAGATTCTCTGAATCTTTTGATGATGTTATGCATGGTTGATGATGATAACTTAAAAGTCTTTGCTATTTTACGCTGGGTAACACCATTCTGATATTGTCACACTATCTTTCTGTGCAACAATGGTGGAATTGGTGATCCTCTTACCATCTTGGCTTCTGAGAGACACTGAAACTCTGAGAAGCTCTTTTTATACCCAATCATGTTGTCAATTGACCTAGTTAGTGTTAATTGGTCTTCCAGCTGTTCGTTATATGCTCAATTTCCTTTTTCCAGCCACTTATTTCTACTTGTCCCAACTTTTTTGGGATTTGTTGACACTGTGAAATTTTGAATCAACATATTTTTCCTTTAAAATGTTACATTTACTCAGATTAAACTTTTGATCTGTCATCTATGTTATATTACAAATAAAATATTGACATTTGCCATCTCCACATCATTGCATTCAGTTTTTATTCACAATTTGTTTAGTGTCCCAACGTTTTTGGAATCCGCTTTGTATACTCAGGGTCCCAGTGACACCCAAAAATAGCAAAAATAAAAGTATAAAAAGGAACAGCGAATAAGGATCCAAGATATACATTAAGATATATGCTAAACAAACAAACGATAAGTTAAAAGATCGATTTATCTCAAAACCAGTAATGTAAAATAATACAGTATATTAAACAGCAGCCCGAACATGAGTCTGTAGTGAGCAGATTGGTATGAATTAATACAGCAGCACGAGATAATCAGCAGCAAAAGATAATCAGCAGCATGAGATGGTCAGCAGCATGAGATCAGCTGCATGGATAATCAGCAGCACAGATAAGTCACATAACACCAATTTAAAGTGGCATTACAGTGATTTTTCTTTTCTTTTTTCTTCCCTTACACTGGTTATTCTGGTTAGGATCCTCGCTGATGTTGATGGTAGCTTTGATGTGGCCAATGACCAGTCTTTCAAAGCATTTAGTGACTATCGGGGTGAGGGCTACAGGCCAGTAGTCATTCAGAACAGTCATTGCAGAGCTCTTAGGAACTGGGATGATGGCAGTGGTCTTCAGGCAGGTGAGAACAGTTGCCAGGGTGAATGAGGAGTTAAAGATATCAGCCAGCACCTCGCAGAGCTGATCGGTAAAGTACTGAAAAAGAGATCTGTGATCTCAATGGGATTTGCCTGATTACATTAAGGTTAATAAAATAACCACTTGTTCTAAGTGTGTGTGTGTGGGGGGTGGGGGTGAGGGCACGAAAATGGAGCGCTACATTTGTATTTTGTGCAGTTTGGAGCCTGAACTAAGCTGCATGAGGGTGGGGGATGTGACAGGTAGGACGCTCGATTCTTGAGAGCACCCTGCCTACCGAAATGTCTTTCACCCACAACTCCCTCCTCACTACCCTCCGTCAACATGATTCAGAAATTCTGGCCAACTATAGACCTATATCTAATCTAACTTTCATCTCAAAAATTCTAGAGAAAATAGTTGCAGGTCAGTTGTGTGAACATCTACAAAGAAATAATCTGTTTGAAGAGTTTCAGTCAGGGTTTAGAGCTCATCATAGCACAGAAACAGCACTAGTAAAAGTCACTAATGATATTCTCATGGCCTCAGACAATGGACTTGTGTCTCTACTGGTCCTGTTAGACCTCAGTGCTGCATTTGATACAGTTGATCACAATATTTTACTACAGAGGCTTGAATATGATGTTGGGATTACAGGAACAGCTCTAAAATGGTTTAAATCAAATCTATCTGATAGATTCCAGTTTGTAAATGTCAATAATAAATGTTCTTCATACACCAAAGTTAGTCATGGAGTTCCTCAGGGCTCAGTGCTTGGGCCAATACTCTTTACTTTATATATGCTTCCATTAGGTAAAGTTATTAAACAGCATGGGATAAATTTCCATTGTTATGCTGATGACACACAATTATATTTGTCCATTAAACCCAATGAATCCAATCAGCTACTTAGACTACAAGCATGTCTTAAAGACATAAAAACCTGGATGACCCTTAATTTTCTCCTGTTGAACAGACAAGACTGAGGTTTTGGTTTTTGGACCTGAGCACCTTAGGAATTAATTTTTCAGGCTTTTTCCCTCCTTGGATGGCATTAATCTGTCCTCCAGCTCTAATGTTAAAAATCTTGGTGTTATTTTTGATCAGGACATGTCTTTTATCCCCCACATTAAAAACGTTACTAGAACCACCTTCTTCCACCTGCGTAATATCACTAACATTAAAAACATCTAATCTAAAGATGATGCAGAAAAACTGGTCCATGCATTTGTCACGTCTAGACTGGACTATTGCAATGGTTTATTATCTGGGTGTCCAAATACTTCTTTAAAACGTCTTCAGTTGATCCAAAATGCTGCTGCCAGAGTCTTAACTGGAGTTACTGGGAGAGATCATATTTCTCCAGTTTTAGTTTCTCTCCACTGGATCCCTGTCAAATCCAGAATAGAATTCAAAATCTTAGTTCTAACCTACAAAGCTCTCAACATCCTAGCTCCATCTTATATTACAGATCTTATTGTTCCATATTTTCCTAACAGAGCACTTTGCTCTCAGACTGCAGGTTTACTTGTGGTTCCTAGAATTTACAAAAACAGAATGGGAGGAAGATCTTTCAGTTATCAGGCTCCTCTCTTGTGGAACCAACTTCCAATCTCTGTCCGTGAGGCTGAC